CCAGTCGTCCAGATATTGATAAACATGACCCTCGAAGGCGAAACGTAAGAATGGCCTGTGACGGGGATTTATCTGGATCTGAAAATAGGCGTCTTTCAGGTCTAGAGAGATGAACCAGTCCCCCTGGCGCACCTGCGCGAGGAGTCTCCTGGTAGTGAGCATCTTGAACGGTCTCTTCATGAGCACTTTGTTCAAAGACCTGAGATCTAAAATCGGTCTGAGGCCGCCGTCTTTCTTGGGAACCAGAAAATAACGGCCGTAAAACCCCGACTCGCTCATAGATAGAGGAACTCTCTCTATAGCCCTTTTGCACAATAGTTTTGCTATCTCTGAACGGAGCGGAGTCACTGCTTCTGGGTTCACAATAGTTTCTAGCCGCGCTCGGAAACCTGGAGGGCGGCGGTAGAACTGTAAGCGATAGCCTAGCCTTATTGTGTTTAGCACCCATTGGGAAATTCCCGGAATAGCTTCCCACGCTTGAAGCGTAACGCTAAGGGGTGAATGGCTACATGGTCCCCGTTGCTGCACACAGCGGGCCGCGCGGGCGCGCTCATAGTGTTTATGACAGCGGGACTTACACTCAGAGAGGAGTTTAAGGGCCGTGTAACAGAGAGAGCAGAGGTGGGATGCGCACACGGGCTCGTGGGCGCGCTTATGCACTCTGAAACTCGAGCGGGTTGGAACCGCTTTATGAGAGTGGGCTCTGTGAGACACACGGGAACTGAAAAGCTTTTGTGTATGAGTGAACACAGTGTTGTGGGCACATTTTCTACACGTGAGGCTTTTATGCTCTTTTTGAGCTATCTCTGGGACGCCGTGAAAACGGTGTTTGTGCACATGCAGTGCTTTGTGTATGAGTGAACACAGTGTTGTGGGCACATTTTCTACACGTGAGGCTTTTATGCTCTTTTTGAGCTATCTCTGGGACGCCGTGAAAACGGTGTTTGTGCACATGCAGTGCTTTGTGTATGAGTGAACACAGTGTTGTGGGCACATTTTCTACACAATAGGTTTTTATGCTCTTTTTGAGATCTCTGGGTCGCCGTGAAAACGTTGTTTGTGCACATGCAGTGTTTTGTGTATGAGTGAACACAGTGTTGTGGGCACATTTTCTACACAAGAGGCTTTTATGCACTTTTTTTTTTTTTTTTTTTTTTTTTGGATTTCTCTGGGACGCGGTGAAAACGGTGTTTGTGCACATGCAAGCGGGAAAAAGAGACCGGCTTGTTGATGGCGGTGTACACTGCTGCAGTAGCCGTGTGAACGGGGACTGACAGAGGGCGAAACCTTGATGGGGGTTCAGCCATGGTGAGAAATAGCCGTCCTTTTCTCAGCTGAGGCTGGTCACGTGAGCGGCCTGCAGCGGGATATATATATAGCCTGAAATCGCTGCACTTGTGACGCGCGTCGCGTGCAAGTGCGTGTTAGAAACGTGAGCGCTGCAAGCGGGCACGAGACTATTTTTAGCCTGCAGAGGCTGGACTTGTGACGGCATAAAAATTATCTGCGAGAGCCGGAATCGAACGCGGGTCTCTGGCGCGAAAAGCTTTGTGATACACCACTGAGCCACAGGGGTAATGACAATAGCACAGTAGCGCGAGCAGATAAGAGGGCGTGATAGCAGTAACAGGTTCGGCCTCAGCGGAACTAACACACTATAACCCATTTGTCCAGCTTTATGCTCGGAAATGAGAACGTTTCTCATGAGCGCGGGAGAGCGCGGCCGCTTTCTGTCACGTGAGAGAGCAGGGCGCGAGCTCAGAGCTGCATAAAGATTATCTGCGAGAGCCGGAATCGAACACGGGTGTGATAGCAGCGACTTGTTCGGCCTCGACTGAACTTAACGCACTATAAACCCACTTGCCGGTGACGCGTATGCATGGGGCCGGGCTAGCTCTCTTGTAAAGTAAAGAAAGCTAGCCGCGGTTGGCACAGCTGTAAGCGGCTCGTCCCCCATTCAGCGCTCGTAGGCGGTGAGAGGGGGAGGCGGCGTAACGCTTCGAGTCGAGCCCGCAGGGTCAACAACAGAAGCCCAATCGCAGAGGAAACAACCGCCGTTGGCGAGAGAAAGCTCTGCGTGTCCCAGTCCCAGGCAGAGAGCGCAGAAGGCGGCGGGCTCTGGCGCTGAGAGGGACGCGGCATGAGCCGCAGGTGTGCGAGGCATCTTAAAAAAGACGCTCGCTGCTCTTTTAGATACACACACACAATACAAGAAGCTTTTTGGTAAAGGATATGAATCCGTCGGATGGCGCTAGCTTGCACGACGGCTGAAGGTGGCGAAGACGGCCGGCTTCCTCAGACTCCCAGATGCTCGCTAGAAGGTGCCTTTTTCCACGACGGCGGCTTTTCTCAGGACAGCAGAAGCGTGTAGCTCACTGAAGATGAAATGAATCAACATATAAGCCTGGGAGAGACTGTTATATACACCATAGCCACGCCCATTCTGGCGGGCCATGACGCAATGAGCGCGCGGGCGCCTCTCATTGGAAGCGGGTTCAGCCCCGCTCTCCCATAGGCTTAAGCAGTTCTCTCTGAGCGAACCAATGAGCTGCTAGCTAGCCTGCTCTAGGTCTGCCGCAGAGGAACTGCGTTGTCAATGGATACAAATTATGAAATAATTTTTTGGCTTCAATATCTCAGCAAAGATGAATCTTTCCCGCAGCGTAAGCTAGCTTACGCAATACGAGAGAACCTCTCGTAAGAGAACTAACAATATTTATATCGTTTTTACCTCTTGTAAACACAACCACGTCCAAGTGATCTGAGGGCGCGGGCGCTTCGGTCTTTTCCGGACTTTGGTAACTATATTTAATATTTATTTAAAGTCGATATTGTTACAACATACCTTTCTTTTGTGCCGAAAATGGCTTTCGTCGATCACAACAAACTCCCTTCTTCCACCAATCTGCTGGCCTGTACGCCTTCTCATCCTTTCAACTGCTGTCAAACAGACATCCCTTATTTTCTTTGCCATTTTACTAAGAGCTGCTGAACTGCCTGCAATACTGTCATCCATCATGTCTATCTGCCGTAACCGTAGACCCTGAGAAAACCTTTAAAGTCAAATAGAACAAGTAATGTTTATGAACGCCTTTATGTAATATAATTGTCTGCATTATTTAAAAAATTGCACATTTTATGGAATTACAAAGAGAACAGCAACATGGTGAGTTTATGATGAATACATATTTATATTAGCCTACAACTGTTATTACGTGCTTACCTGTACATGAATTGCATCCACTTACTGAAGGAGACCTTTGATCCACTGAAGATCAATTTGTGCCTGAGAGAAATTTGTTTTGCCCTTCCCTTATGTGCTGCTTGTTGACAAATCCTATTGTAAAAAAATATGTTTTTAGAAAGGGTATTAATACAATTGCATGATTATGTTTCAGTTCCCACCAGCATTATCACACTCAGCAAGTTGCAAATTGTTTTACATTTACTTAATTATATATATATATATATATATATACACACTCACCTAAAGGATTATTAGGAACACCTGTTCAATTTCTCATTAATGCAATTATCTAATCAACCAGTCACATGGCAGTTGCTTCAATGCATTTAGGGGTGTGGTCCTGGTCAAGACAATCTCCTGAACTCCAAACTGAATGTCAGAATGGGAAAGAAAGGTGATTTTAAGCGATTTTGAGCGTGGCATGGTTGTTGGTGCCAGACGGGCCGGTCTGAGTATTTCACAATCTGTGGGCGAAAATGCCTTGTTGATGCTTGAGGTCAGAGGAGAATGGGCCGACTGATTCAAGCTGATAGAAGAGCAACTTTGACTGAAATAACCACTCGTTACAACCGAGGTATGCAGCAAAGCATTTGTGAAGCCACAACACGCACAACCTTGAGGCGGATGGGCTACAACAGCAGAAGACCCCACCGGGTACCACTCATCTCCACTACAAATAGGAAAAAGAGGCTACAATTTGGAAGAGCTCCCCAAAATTGGACAGTTGAAGACTGGAAAAATGTTGCCTGGTCTGCTCGATTTCTGTTGAGACATTCAGATGGTAGAGTCAGAATTTGGCGTAAACAGAATGAGAACATGGATCTATCATGCCTTGTTACCACTGTGCAGGCTGGTGGTGGTGGTGTAATGGTGTGGGGGATGTTTTCTTGGCACACTTTAGGCCCCTTAGTGCCAATTGGGCATCGTTTAAATGCCACGGCCTACCTGAGCATTGTTTCTGACCATGTCCATCCCTTTATGGCCACCATGTACCCATCCTCTGATGGCTACTTCCAGCAGGATAATGCACCATGTCACAAAGCTCGAATCATTTCAAATTGGTTTCTTGAACATGACAATGAGTTCACTGTACTAAAATGGCTCCCACAGTCACCAGATCTGAACCCAATAGAGCATCTTTGGGATGTGGTAGAACGGGAGCTTCATGCCCTGGATGTGTATCCCACAAATCTCCATCAACTGCAAGATGCTATCCTATCAATATGGGCCAACATTTCTAAAGAAGGCTTTCAGCACCTTGTTGAATCAATGCCACGTAGAATTAAGGCAGTTCTGAAGGCGAAAGGGGGTCAAACACAGTATTAGTATGGTGTTCCTAAAAATCCTTTAGGTGAGTGTATATATAGGCTATACATTTTTTATTATAATTTTTTTCTTACCAAGCATATTGATCTCCGCTGTTTGTCCTTTTCTTCATTTTTATCTCCTGATGACATTTTCTGCATTTCATTTTCGTTTTTAGCAGTTTCCTTTTCTGAAGCAACTTAATCAGTTTTAGGGTTTTCATTATAGAGCTGGGCTCACTAATAAGCTTCTTTAGCCTGGTTAATCTGCTCATTTTTTAAATTAAACATTTGCTTTAGTGGTGATTTTATGGTGACAGCTAGTTTATGATCTGAAGGGCGGGATAAATCTCGCTTTCATACGTTATCACTATGGGACAAAGGAAAACTCACGCTTTCAAACGTCATCAACAGGGGACAAAAGAATAGTGCAGCAGTGTGTTTATGACATGGAGATCTCCGACAAAAGTCGAAAAGGCGCGCGGACCCGGTCCAAAAGGAATGCCAGCGTGGAGATGGATGCATTGGATGAGACATCCGTCAGTGGCACTACTGGTGAGTAGGTTACTCTGTTTACTGGCACACATTATTGATGATGGCTAGCAAGTTAGTCTCTAGTTAGAGGCTTTTATATACTGTCTATGGTTAGAGGTCCTGACACCGGGGACGCGCAGGGGGGCGGGAGCACTGTGGACGCGCCGCACTGACTGCACTGCACTCACTAGTTTTTTTTTTTTATATATATAATTTCAAATAACAAACAGGCATTAACATAGTATCGTTGTTAAACACCATAACACTAAGACAAGCAGCATATCGTAAACAACATAATAAAATAAATAAATAACAGGCCTAATAATAAATAAATAAAATAGAAATGACAATAATATGAAAAGCAAATTATAACTAAATAAATTACACTTCAGGGGGAAGGGGGTTAATCCATATATATTGCAAATTAATTTAGAGAGTTTCAAAGCACTCCTCCTTTTTACTTGTTTTAAGGATTGAAATAAAAATATTAAATCATTTTTAAATGCTGCAAAACATTACGAAAACAAAACGAAACTTTAACAAATCTACATTTGTGTAGGTAACACTTGGCTACAATCAACATATTATTACACATAAATTGTCCAAAAAGTTTAACACTGTGATAGTCAAAGTCAGGTTTTTTTTTTTTTGTCTTCAACCACTGTCCCAAAAGGACTTTTTTTTTGACAGAATGTACATACATTACTATCCAAATTAAACCTTACTCTTAAAAATTCATTACATGGATGAATGTCATTAATTGTTTTAAAATGTACTTCTTTAATTTTTGGTAACAAAGGAACTGACAACTGTCTGGCAATAGGTGGCTTTTGCAATGACATGTTTGACTCTCATTGTGTCTCATACAGCGGCGGGCAGGATGAGAGTTCGTTAGACAACAAGAAAGTAAATTTAACGTTCTCAGTTCATTCAATAATGCACAGTTACTTTCAATTAGGTGTCTCCATGGCCCCCACTGCACATCTAGCAGACAACAGAAAATCTCATGAGTTGGAGATGTGTAAGCTGAGAGTAGAGTGGCAAAAAGAGAAGATTGATGAGCTGACCAAGGAAAGAGACTATCTAAAAGAACAACTGGCATCAGGTAAGTCTTACAACACACAACATGTATTCAAATTATAGTACAGTTGAGTTTTATTATGCGAGTTAAGCTTTGTATTCCTGTGTACCATGTGATGCAAGCTGTGAGCCTTATGTATGTATTTGTATCCATTTAACAGCTCTTAAAAAAGGGGACAAAGGTTCCAGCCAGACGAGTCCCTTGTCTTCAAAATCCTCTAGTGACATCTCAGTTGACTCTTCCTCTGACACTATGTCTGACTCCTCCTCTACATCCTCATCAGAGGGGGACAAGAAGAAGAAGAGGACGAAAAAGAAGGGGAAAGGGAAAAAGTATGAGAAGAAGTCAAAGAAAATGGAAACAAAGACACGTCAAAGAGGTTAGAATGCTATTTTCACTCTTTCCACTCACTGGGTTTTTAGTTTGCCACTGCGTGTGTACCATAATAATTGAATTGGAGATTCAGATGAATAACCTGGTAGACCATCTACATCAGCTTCAACACTTTTTTAGAATGTTTTGTTAAATCCATGTAAAAGACTTAAAAAAAATGAGAGTGTGACTTAATAAGTTGCATTTATTGCATTAAATCATAAGTTCATAAGCTACCAGTTACTTTACTCTGGAAGAAGTTACAGCAACTACCCTCAAGAGAAATATTCTTTGGTTAGCTAAAGTACTGTGTAAAAAAACAATCCAATAAATCAGATCCTCATTGCAAAATATTAAATCAAATGAAAAATATATATTTGCACACGACTGTATAATGAACAACTCTGAATTCAGAGGTTTTACTTTAACATTGGACTGAACTGATTGTCTGGGTGTTACTGAGGTGGTCTGCTGTGTTTCTATACCAAAGTTTGTAGAATGTGTCATACTGTAGATTGAAACAATATACGAGTCGAAGGTGTGTGTGTGTGTGTGTGTGTGTGTGTGTCAAAGTGTGTGCGATAAGAATAAAACCAAATACTAAGACTATTTCTATGTTCTCTTAATTACAGCTCAAACACCATAGCAGGTGCTGGCACGATACAAAAAAAATTATTCAGCACTTCAGTAGAGGAGGGACAATGTCAGCGGCTTTCAAGCATTTTGGGGTGGACCGCAACACAGTCGTGGTCAATGCTCCAATCGCAGAGCTGTACATCGCTGGTTTTAAAGAAAACCTCAGCAGTCAGGTTAAACTTAGTGTGTTTGCCACACAATGTCAAGTCAAGTCAAGTCACATTTATTTATATAGCGCTTTTCACAATACAGATTGCATCAAAGCAGCTTCACAGTGATAACATGAAAGTAGTACAACACAGTTCAATAATATTGTTGAATATTAAATATCCCCAACTAATAAGCAAGCCAAAAGCAAGGCGACAGTGGCAAGGAACCAAAACTCCATCAGATTGGATGGAGAAAAAAACCTTGGGAGAACCCAGGCTAGTCAGGGGCCAGTTCTCCTCTGGCTAACAATCATAGGGTTTTAAAGAAGCTTTACAGTAAGTGCATATCAGAGAGTACCTGGAAAAAATACATTTAGTTAATCATGTAATATTTAGGGGATAACATATCGCCGGCGTTGAGTCGTCTCTTCGCAGGCGTTGAGTCGTCTCTTCACAGGCGTTGGTCTTCTCATCACAGGCGTTGAGGCATCCGAAATCCCCGTGAGAGGCAGGATACCAAACTGGAGCCTACGAACGCCATTTTTCTCGGGACAAGCGTCCCGAGATAACAGCAGAAGGCAGATGGGAAATAATTAGCATAGCCGATGTTCATAATGATTTCCATTACACGGGAGTAGGTGTTAGAAAACCATAATCTCACAACTCTCCGCAACCCAAACTCTCCGCAACCCAACCGCAACCATACGGACCGACCCGTTTGTCTATAAGGCTGTCGAGCCCCACTGGTGCGTTAAGCAGTTTCAGTGGCAAACGGTTCCGTATGGCATAGCAGAGGACTAAAAGGTAAGCATTATGTGAATGCTTGACTAAAGAGACACGTCTTTAGTCTAGTTTTAAACTGTGTCAGCGAGTCAGAGCATCGGACCGTATCGGGAAGGCTATTCCAGAGTTTTGGAGCTAAATGCGAGAATGCCCTCCCTCCTTTCGTGGACTTCGATATCCTAGGAATGACCAGAAGCCTTGAATTTAGTGATCTTAGAGAACGCGGTGGATTGTAGGGCGATAGAAGGTCCGTTAAGTACATAGGAGCTAAACCATTAAGGGCTTTATAGGTCAGTAGTAGTACTTTGTAATTGATACGGAACTTAATAGGTAACCAGTGCAGAGATGATAAAATCGGTGTTATATGATCATATTTTCTTGATCTAGTAAGAACTCTAGCGGCTGCATTTTGCACTAACTGTAGCTTGTTTATTGAGGATGCAGGACAACCAGCTAATAAAGCATTACAGTAATCTAGTCTCGAGGTCATGAATGCATGAACTAACTTTTCTGCATCAGAAACAGATAGCATGTTACGTAATTTAGCAATGTTTCTAAGGTGGAAAAATGCTGTTCTTGTAACAGATGAAATATGATTTTCGAAAGACAAGTTGCGGTCTAGTATAACACCCAGGTCTTTTACTGTAGTGGAAAAAGTAACAGGGCATCCTTCTATATTAAAGTCGTATTGTAAGAGGTTTTGTGTGTAGTTTTTTGGACCAATAAGTAATACCTCCGTTTTATCTGAATTTAATAGCAGGAAATTACGCGTCATCCAGCATTTTATATCTTTGAGACATTCTGTCAATTTAGATGAGGTAATGTTTTCATCTGGTCGTGATGAAATATATAATTGAGTGTCGTCAGCATAACAGTGGAAATTAATTCCATGTTTTCTTATAATATTACCAAGTGGCAGCATATATATTGAGAATAGCAGAGGGCCTAGCACCGATCCTTGCGGCACTCCGTAGTCTACTGACGTTAACTTTGATTTTCCCCCGTGTAAAGAGACAAAATGATAACGTTCAGATAAGTACGATCTAAACCAGCTTAATGCCTGTCCCTGAACACCAGTGTAGTTTTGTAGTCGATCCAAGAGTATTTTATGATCTATAGTGTCGAACGCGGCGCTAAGATCAAGTAGGACTAGTATTGAGATACAGCCTTGGTCAGAAGCTAAGAGTAGATCATTTGTAATTTTAACTAGCGCAGTTTCTGTACTATGATGCGGTCTGAATCCTGACTGGAATTTTTCATAGATATCATTTTCTTGCAAAAAAGAGCACAGTTGAGCGGATACAACTTTTTCTAGTATTTTGGACATAAATGGAAGATTTGAAATGGGTCTGTAATTTGCTAGGTTATTTGGATCTAGTTGCGGTTTCTTAATGAGAGGTTTTATTACTGCCAACTTGAATATTCTTGGCACATGACCTAAGAATAAAGACGAGTTAATAATATTAAGAAGAGGCTCTTCCACTACAGGTAACACTTCTTTCAGTAGTTTAGTGGGTATTGGATCTAATGAGCATGTTGTTGGTTTAGATGCAATAATAAGTTTATTTAGCGCTTCCTGTCCTATCGTTGCAAAGCGGTGTAGTTGTTCTTGAGGGACGATAATTGAGGCTGAATCATAAGAGACCATAGAGGATTGTACATTTATAATTGTGTTTCGAATGCTTTCTATTTTCTCATTGAAATAATTCATAAAATCATTACTACTAAACTGTAACGGTATATTTTGCTCTGGTGATGTCTGTTTATTTGTTAGTCTAGCCACGGTGTTAAATAAGAACCTTGGATTATTTTGGTTATTTTCTATTAGTTTGCGGAGGTGCTCAGCCCTGGCTGTTTTTAGAGCCTTTTTATAACGTGACATACTGTCTTTCCACGCGATTCTAAAGACCTCTAAATTAGTTTGTTTCCATTTACGCTCTAGGTTACGAGTTTCTCTCTTGATAGCATGCGTAGCACTGTTGTACCATGGTGCTTTAGTTTTCTCTCTAACCTTTTTTGATCTAATTGGTGCAACAATATCTAATGTACTAGAGAAAATGGTGCTCAAACTGCTAGTCATTTCCTCTAGTTCATCTGTTTGTTTGGGTTCACTGAGCAGCTGAGATAGATCAGGTAAGCTATTTGAGAATCTATCTATAGTGGTTGGAAGGATTGTTCTGCCTGGTCTATAACGTGGCGCAACATGACATATTTCAGCAGTACGTATTATGCACGTTACCATGTAATGATCAGTGACATCATCACTTTGCGGTATAATATCTATATCAGTTGGATTGGTTCCATATGATATAATTAAATCTAGTGTATGATTTAGACGATGAGTGGGACCACGGACGTTTTGCTTGACCCCAAAGGAGTTTAATAAATCTGTAAACGCAGCCCCTAACGCATCATTTTTGTTGTCTACGTGTATGTTAAAATCTCCAACAATTATTGCTTTATCGACATTGACCAATAGATCCGAGAGAAAGTCTGCAAACTCTTTTAGAAATTCAGCATATGGCCCTGGAGGTCTATATACAGTAGCCAAGGCTAGAGATAATATGGATTTCTTTCTTACATCTAAGAGCGTAACATTTAGCATAAGTACTTCAAACGAATTAAATCTGTGACCTGTTTTCTGAGAAATATTAAGAATATCTTTATAGATTGTTGCAACACCGCCGCCACGACCAGTCAGACGGGGCTCATGCTTATAACAGTATCTTGGCGGAGTAGACTCATTTAGACCGAAATACTCATTTGGTTTAAGCCAGGTTTCAGTAAGGCAAAGTATATCGAAATTATTATCTGTGACCATTTCATTTACAATAACCGCTTTAGGTGTGAGCGATCTAATGTTTAGGAGACCTAGCTTTAGAAATTCTTTTTGTTCACTGATATTTAGATTTTCTGGTTTAATTACAATAAGATTTTTGCTAGATCCTGCACTAGATTTATTGTTTGGCTTCACTAAACGAGGAATAGACACAGTTTCTATATAATGTTCTTCACTACGTATATCAATTAAGTTTGGACAGCAAAGACTGTGATTTGGATTTTGACTTATTAGTCATCTGGTGCGTAACGTCTTGGAGATATTATCCGACAGAACAGCCGCTCCGGCTCTGCTGGGGTGCAGGCCATCAGCACGGTACAGCCTGGGTCGCTCCCAAAACAGATTCCAATTATTTACAAAGAGCAGTTTCGGTTCATTACACAGTGACATTAACCATTCATTTAGTGCAAATAGTCTACTGAACCTTTCTTGTCCTAGTCGGTACGTGGGAAGCGGTCCAGACACGATGATCGTTGCCTCAGGCGCTGTGTTGCGTACCGCCTCGATCAGGCTCATGTAGTCCTTCTTCAGAACCTCCGTCTGCCGCAGCCTGACGTCGCTCCCTCCCGCATGCAGCACCACAGCTCCGACGCGCTCGTCCCCGGTCAGGATTTCGGGAACCTGTGCAGCGATATCAAGAACACGAGCACCAGGAAAGCAGTGAGAGCGCACCTTACCTTTACCTGAGGTAGCGCGGACATGGCGGACCATGGACGTGCCGATGATCACGGCGTCGTCGCGTTTCGACTCGCGAAGAGGGGAGAAGCGGTTCCGAGTGGAGATCTCGAAGACCGGGAGGGGCGGAGGAGTAGCTCTGGTCCTGGCTCGCGTCTTCCGCTGCGTGATCCATGGTCCATTGTGTTGTGTCGGTGCCGGAGTAAATGAAGCCCGAGATGATCGCGTCCTTCTGGACAGAGAAACACACGGAGTAGACGAACTCGGAGTTAAAGAGTTACTAACCACTAACTTGTGAGCATCGGCGCGTGCTGCTTCAAGTGCTGATCGCCGATCCCGCAGCTCGGCTTGCTTTTCCAGCAGACCACGGATCTGTTTCTCCACGGATTCCAGCTCCAGATTCACCGAGAATAGCTCGAAAGTGTCCTCACCTGCACTCAGAGGTAAAGTTAGACACGCATCCGATATGTTCGCCATTATAACAAATGAGCTGTAAATTAGCAGTGATACTACAACTATCAGTACTAATTTAGGACTGCAATGTCAAGTATAACCCGTGTCTTTTCAGTGAAAGGGTGTAATATTAGACGGCCGAGGCCACGCGTGAAATGTTAGCGGGCTAAAGGCTAGTAGCCGAGAATCGAAAGGTTGGATATAAGTAGCGATATCAAAGCAATCTAATTGTGCCGCTGCAATGTGCCGCTGCAATTCAGGAGGATCCAGCTATAGAAGATATTATCAAAGCATTTAAGGTGTCTGGGAAGCTGCTGCCCCTTAAACAAAAATGAACTGACCTAGGATCTGGGGAAGGTTTCACACTCAATCAGACTAAAGTTGTTCACGATCTGCATTGCTGTTTTCGAAAGTTAGTACTGAGGTAGTTACACTGTGAAATATTTTTATATATTATTATTATTGTTTAATTTTTTTTAAACAAAATGAACTGACCTAGGATCTGGGGAAGGTTTCACACTCAATCAGACTAAAGTTGTTCACGATCTGCATTGTTGTTTTCGAAAGTTAGTACTGAGGTAGTTACACTGTGAAATATTTTTATATATTATTATTATTGTTTAAATTTTTTTTTAAAAAGTTGTATTTTTGCACTGGTAAATTGTTGTTTACACACAAAAAAACACCAAGACCGCAAGACATTAACGAATGAAAAATGCAAGTAGGCTAAGTTACCTGTTCGTGGTCAGTCAATAGCCGCGTGTGGTGTCCAAGTTTGTAAATAAAGACTAAATGGCAGCCTCTGATATATTTTTTATAGCGGTTTATTCTTAACAGGAGTGCCGTGAGGCATGATTTCGGCCTCTGTGCTCGCGCTGGCCAGTGGAAAAGCGGCTAATGGGTGAAAAAGAAGACCGTACATTCGCGAGATGGACGTATGCGCATTAGGCTACTCCATTTGTTCTGTGTTTACTTTCTAAACAGTTACTGTAGGCTATGTTTAGGTGGTATTTTTCTTGTTTTCATCACGCAATCATTTTTGATGCGGTGGTGACGCGTTCACGTAACATGATGTAAGGAAAGCAACTAAAAGCTGTCACAAAGAACCGGCAAAAGCAATGATTATGAATATGTCAAATATAGCAAGGAGACATTTTAATTGTTTATTAATAAAGATGAAGTTGAAGTTGCTGACTCGCGATCTTCGCAGTAGTGAATGCGCCAGAGAGAAATGCACATTTCATACAGATAAGCAGGGAGCAGTCCGTTTTCTTTCGTTTTGAATTGTTCTGTTTACAAGTAGACATTTCAATATATATATATATTTTTTCAGGTCTGTGAAGTAGGCTACCTTATAGTAGCGGAGAACTGTCACGTAGGCCTACATTGTTTTTTCCTCATAAATGCGAACACGAAAAATAAAATAAAATGAATATTTTATGTTCTTTGGAGAGCCAACCCTTCTTCATCCGGTGGGTAGTATTACTTTTGATTTGCGCAGTGTAATTCACCGAATTACAAAAAAATATTTTGCCTCCTAAAAGTTAAAAAAAAAAATTGTCACGCATGAATGCGTGTATTTCCCTCATATTAAATATAAAACGCATGTGTAGACTGATATTTTTCTAATGTCTGGACTCTTTTAAGGGGGTATCCTATGGATAAACAGACGTTTCAATATATTGGTATTAAATGCATTTTCTGAGAATTTATATTTCAAGTTTTGACTGCAAATGTCACGTCCAAAACCCTGGAATTCCCCAATTTTAAATAATTTATCCTCAACTAGTTTTGTGGTGTAGGTCTACGTATTTTATAATGTTAACTTCAAAATTCAAATAATACTAATAGTAATTTAAAGACGTGGTAGCATTGGATCTGGACGGGAAGGATAACTCTTGGAGTTGGAAGGGGTGTGTCGCGATTCTGCAGGTTCGTGGATCTGAGTGTCGCGATTTCGGTTTCATATAGCATATCATTACAGCCTTAAAATGTTAAGTTCTACTACTGTAAAGCTATTTTGGTGAAAGTAACTCAAAAGTAATACAGGAGTAATGTAACGCATTACAATTCTGAGACAGTAATATTGTAAGGTAATGAATTACTTTTAAATTACAGTAACAAGTAATGTATAATGTATTACAGTTTGGAAGTAACTTGCACAACACTGGATATCAGCATGTTCACAGGTGTTTATTTATTTTTTTACAGGGACAAAATGCCATGAGTCCTGCTGAGTTCAACATTCACAGGAGACTGTAATGAAAAATCAAACACCTTGGAAATGACAGGTATGTACTATGTTTCAGGAATGGGACCATGCTGTGTGACTGTGCAAGCCTCTGTCTTTAGATCAGTGTGTTTACTAATGTGCTTTTTTGTCCTTTGTTGTGTATCTTTGGATTATGCTGTGTTGTAAATAAATCCAAACAATCTAAAAGCCATTCTTTTTTAAATCTCCTCATTCTTTGTGCAAGGCTCCTCTAATGATAGGGCCTGATAGCACCTAATACGGCCATTATGGGAGGGTCTTTGTCTTTCTCAGGTGTGAAATGCCATACATATTAATGAGAGATCACGCCTCCTCGCATAAAGCTTTCTCACACTAAACACGTCATACACATTCTAAAAGACTTTATTGACTTATCTGAATGAGTAGTCAGGATGATTCTCACATAGTTTTGGAGCAAATATTGTAGACTATGTGATACAATTTTCAAGTCTTGTGAAGAAATAATCAATATGTGTTTTGTGGCCTTATTTCAGAAACTTTTATTTTTAAGTTTTTCAATAACCATGCATAAATAATATTCTCTCAAAAATACAAACATGTACATACATGTTGCTAACATATTATGGTAGCCCCGTTTGTGCTATATACAGTGAATTTACACCTTTGCCATTAACATGTTTATACATAACTGAAAAAAGCACAAATGTCAGTGCATGTCAAAACATCCCAAGGGCCCCAAAAATCCCTTGGTCCCCAGAGGGTTAATACTACAGCCACATTTCCTCCAAACAGACTTCTCTGTGTCTTAATCAAAAGACTGTATGTTCTGTAAGGAGTCAGAAAAATCAGGGTTATTTTCAGATAACATTGTACACGCCATCTCCATTGTTTCTGTGGCAGCAGCTTTTCAGCTGCATTTGCCATGTCATTTCCTATAGAAATAAAAAAAAAATGTTAGTATGCGCTGCACATTTACATATAGAAATTCAATCAAATTATCATCCAGCGAATTTTGATACTAACTCAGCATGTCAGCAAGACCATCTGACTTCAAATATTTGTGATGTTTCCACAGCCCCAAAATCATAAGCAACTGCAAACAAATAATGAGAGTCTGTCTAAATCGTCACACATTTCCCTGACATTTACCCTCTGGGGTCTAAGGTGTTTTTGGGGTCCTTGAGATGTTTTGACATGCCCTGACATTTGTGCTTTTTTCAGTTGCTTATAAACATATTAATGGCACAGGTGAAATTACACTCTATTTAGCACAAACAGGGCTACCATAATATGTGAGCAACATGTATGTACATGTTTGTATTTTTGAGGGAATATTGTTTATGCATGGTTATTGAAAAAACTAAAAATTTAAGTTTCTGAAATAAGGCCACAAAACACATACTAAATATGTGTCCACAAGACTTTTGACTAATGGATGTTGTCGCCTAGAGTTTTTGCTTAAAAATGATCTTAAAATCATCCTGCCTAATCATTCACATAAAACAATAGATTGTTTTAAATTGTAAAAAACATTTTTTTGTTTGGAAAGGCAATATGCGAATAGGCGTGAACGGCCCAACCCCCTCATGAATAATTAGGTGGTTCACACCTGAGAAGACAAAGACCCGCATAATAATGAGCCTTTCATTCAGGTGTGTCACACAATAAAGAATGCAAGGACAACATATATAAATATATATATATATACACATACATACACACATATATATATATATATAATCAAAATATAAATTAAAGTCAAAAGCACATTTTTAGTCATACCTGGAAACCGATCCTGTTCAAATAGGTTATATGGGCCATTCTATAGAATTGGTTCAAAGTTAGAGTTGGCAACATCTTCAAAAGAAAATAGTCTTTTTCCATAAATCTCTTATAAAGTATTATTTTTTAAAGTAGGCCAATACATTTTATCATACATATTTCAAAGTTAAGGATTCATTATTTTGATATAGCCTAGCTTCTAGGGCCGGGACTTTAACGCGTTAATTAAGATTAATTAATTACACACTTTAACGCGTTAATTAATTACACAAAAAATTATTTTTAATCGCACTTATTTTTGCACCGCGGAACGTTTCTCACTGGATGAGTTTCGGCGGACCGATTATACTGGCGCACCAACTAGCGTTCATTGGTTCATGACGAAGAAGCTGACGAGATCGCTTTGGTTTGCCGGTGGCTGGGAAATGTTGTTACAAAAAACGAACGGATGGACGCGTCGATAAGAGCATGGTTGTGTGCAAGCTATGCAACAAGGAATTCGCTATTGCTATTAGTGTAGTGTAGCAATATGCTATTTTGTTGCAATATGCTATTGCTACACTTAATGGCTATTATGGCTATTAGTGTAGTGCTATTAGTGTAGTGTAGCAAAATGCTATTTTGTTGCAATATGCTATTGCTACACTTAATGGCAAAAATTGCACTGGTCTGCTGGACTTGGTTGAACAAAAATAAACAATATTTTGTTGCTTAAGCTTATGTATGCAGTCATTATTCAATGGTATACTAAAAATCCATGTGAAAAAAATTACTTCTCACAGTTCTCAGGTCAAATATTTATGTGATTAAAATGCGATTAATTTCGATTAATTAATTACAAAGCCTCTAATTAATTAGATTTTTTTTTTTTATCGAGTCCCGGCCCTAGAACAAACACTATAACAGTTGATTAGTTTATTTTTGACAAAACATACTATATATTTAACATATGAGCAGAAACTGTCTAACAAAAGCTTATTTGATGTCTATTTTAGAGTAAAAACTATATCCAAAACTAGTCAACAAAATGTTGTCATTACAGACACTATTCTATATCGCGATTCGAACAAATCTCAGTAGGCTATAGCCAGTGTTGGGCAGTAACGCGTTACTGTAACGCATTACTTTTAAAATAAATTAACTCCGTTACCGTTACCATATGGCACGTTGTCCGTTACTTTTTTTAAATTAATTAGTTGCTGGAGCGGCTGAGAATTGTGCGCTGTCATTACACAGTACGAGAGCACTGAAGAGACTGATAGCATTTTACAGAGCGAGAGGACACCTGAGGACACATAACAAACTCACTGGCTGAGTTGTTTACGTACACGTGAGGCAGCGCGAGCATGGAGATTACAAGCTGCACGGAGAGCGCTGAGCACTTGATGCGCATT